TATTCTTTCATCTCCTTCAGGTTCTAGCTCAAAGGCTACCTTTGAATTAAGGCCTTCTCTGACCCCACTACTGAATTTTTCAGTCACCAGCCCATTATTCCCTCTTAGCCTTGACAGTCCCTACTCCTCTTTCCACTTTATGCTTCCTTATAGCTCTCATTACTTCACATACATCTTATTTATGTGTTTTTATTTACTGTTTGCCTTCCTCATTATAGAACAGAGCATCATAAGGCCAGAGACTTTTGTCTGTTTTATTCTCTGCTGCATTGCCAGAGTCTAGAATCATGCCTAATAGGTGCATAACAAATTATCCTGAATGCCTAAATACTTAGTCACATTCTTAGAGTACAGGAACCTGGCTTTCACTAGAACCTATGATTCTCTGACCATTTTTCATAATTGCTTGGGCCAGATTTCCTAATAATCCTTTGTTATATTAGAATAAATACATTTCAAATCCTATGGACCATTATATAATCTATATGGCTCATAAACTTTTATATAATTTCTATTTGCCTTATACCTACATAATTTATCATAGAAATTTAAAACAACAGGAGTAACCTGTATAAACATACTTGCACAAATTTATACAATCACAGGAGAAACATGTATACTTGGGTATGCAATTAGCCAGTTCACTTTTTTTTTTAATTTCACTGTGCTCACACCTCCTGTTACAAATGCCACACGAGTGATTTTTCTCTCAATTATATTTTACAGCTTATAAAAACACATTCTTCATTTTGTCCTTTGAAAAGCAAAGTAGTCAGATTTTACTGGATGTTTTTATTGAAACAAATCCCAAGGGGAATATACTAAACTGTTAAACACAGCTGAAGAGATATCTGAGAATGCGCTTTCTGATAGAAGGGTAGATTACAAAATTACTCACAGCTCTTAATCTGATAATAGGAGAATGCCCCACGCATATGAATGGAGCTTTTTCTTGGTATGCTTTACTACAAAAAGAGAAAGGGAGAAAAAGAGAACTGGAGAAACAGAAGGTGAGAAAAACTCCAGAGACTAGAAATGTTACAGTCATCATTTATCACTAACCTAAGGATCCCAATGTACGCCTCAGTGCAAAATGCTTCAAAGAGTTAAACTTCCTTGATGGCTGGGCAGAGGCTGTGGTGCTGTTGAGACAGCATGGGGGCTAGGCTCATGCACAGGTTCCCTGTCTATAACATGGGGAGGTTAAGATAGGGAAACCAGCCTTGCCTATTCTGTAAGGTTGCTGCAGTATCAGAAAGATGATATACTCAGAAGCAGCTTCAAAATTTTAAGAGTTAAGTTCCAATCTTTTGATTTAAAAAAAATTTCTATTATTTAATAGCAAATGGGATGGTTTCCAAGGCTGTCACTCTTTTGTAACAATTACGGACCTTGATTCCATTTTGCACAAGATTTATTTATCTGAGTATCTAATTCTTCAAAGGCAGATATTTCACTTCTTCCTTTCTAAAAATGTTCCTCTAGTACCAGACACATATGATGTTTAACCTACAGTTCTTAGCTATTTTTGCTGAAGCAACTGTGGGCCTGGCAGCAACTCTGTTAAGAACAGGGAATCAAAGTGATCCTGAATTGACATTAGTTACTATATCTATCATTTATTACTAAGAGGTGACTATTTGTTTTGCACTGAGCAAAGCCCATGAAGAAACTCTGCCCTGAGGGCTCAGAGTCAAAGACACCAGTTTCAACATACACCAGTGAGGTAAACTCCCTGGCACTTGAGTTTCTGCATATTTTCTCCCCTTAAGGTAGCACAATTAGGAAATTCAGTATCCCATGAACATAGCAGCTCAAGAAAAATATTGGGGATGATGGGAAAGGAAAGCGTAGATGATTCTGGTGAGACTAATGACAGTGAAGAAAACATGATATTAGAGGGAAGAAATGGGGGCACAGAAAGCTTGGAAGCAGCTCTGACCAAACCAAGGGGAAGAGATGAGGGGGGAGGGGGCAGAGAGATGGGAGGTGCTCTGAATTTGTAGGGAACTGTTACTCAACATGGGTGTGTCACTATAGGCACTAGTGCAGCCACTTAGACAAAGGTGTGTGTCCTGAGAGAATGTTAGCCCTTTTGAATTATTCACTTTGTTTTGAGATGACCACATTTGAGAAAAAGTTTATTTGAGGCTATCATATAGATGTGCAAAAGGAAAATCAGACTAATGTTATTTTGGACTATTTATTTTCTTTTTTAACCAACAGCTAAGGAAATTGATTTTTGAAATGTATTTCTTAGTCTAATTCTCCTTGGAACAAATTTTAAAGAATTTCAAGATTATAGTGGGTCATAGTCTTAAAAGGAATTTATAAGATAAGGGTTTTTCTGCTGCTTAGAAAAGTGTCATTTTTCTTTTATCATAGGTTTAAAAGTTATGAAAATATTAGTTATGAACTTTCATACTAACTGGCTATGGTTAATCTTATACATCTTCATCATTCAGATAAACCTCAACCACTAATTCTGAAGTCATGGAAAGTACATCTAATGTAAACCTCTACTGTGATGTATTAAGAATAAAGAAATCTTTGAAAAACCAGTAGTCAACAGATCATCTTCTAAATGCCATAAATTCCATTATGTTAAAATCAAAATATATTTAGGTTAGTAACTACAGGTTTATGCACTGTTAAGTTTGAAACCTGAACAGAACTTTTAAAACACCAGTAAATTTTATAGGCAATCAGCCACATTTTTGGTACTACAAAAATTTCTTATGAGTGACGTAAATTTTACTTGTATTATTCAGCAACTCAAAAAGAATGAACACTGAATACACCACAGACTTGCAGTCTACAATTGGAACCAAAGCACCTCACTTTCTGTTCCATTATGGAAGTTTACATGTTAAAACAAAGCCCAATAAGCTTGGAGCTAGAAAGAAAAACTATGTACCTGTAAATAATCCAAGCACCACTTACAGTTTACATAAAAGCACAATTTATGTCCTAGAGGCACAGAGAAACATGATGTACATCATTTTCAGATCATCTTCATGCAGAAAAAATTCATTAGTCAGCTATAATAGTTTAGCTGTAAAGGAAAATGTTTTTCTGAATCCATTTGCATGGCAATGTGCATGTGTCTGCCTGATGGAAATGACAAAATAAACCTCCACCCAACTCTACAAAATGTGAACAGTGTTCTTAAAATTCAGGAGAGGGTCCAGATAGTCTATATTCTCTCCAACGTCAGTTTTTACAATGCTCTCATATTCACGGACCGTCTTAACTTGGCAATTAAAGTATCCTGATTATTTTGCCTAAGAGAGTTGACAATATTTCATTCTGCCCCAGGACTCCTTTGCACATAAAACTGTGATAAGGTAAAACACACTGGGCAGAACTATTCATGCATGAGCCACAGGAACTCTCTCCAACTGCCGAATTAGTAAATGGCTCTTTTAAAACATAAAAGGTATGAAATGGGAAACCGTACTTTGGAGTAAATTCTGCATTGTAGATAGTCTGTGAAAATCCTTTCGTTCGTGCTTTAATTATTGGGTCAGTAACAGTCGTAGCCAGATTGCCCGACCTCTGGTTATAATCTATTTCACCTAATAAGACAGATGTCCTCCACAGAGCCCCAGCAGAGAGAGAAGGTAAGATTGAAAACGATAGGTCACAACAAGCCCTGTGTATTTGCCAGAAATTAAGAATTCAGACCCTCACAGAAACACCTGCCCCTTGGAAGGGGCCCCACGTAATACAGATATAAAGCAAGGATGGGAACAAGGAAACTGCTGGCTCGAAGCTTGCTGGCCACATCACCCTCCGTCAGGGTAACCGGATCACTTTTGAGTCAGATCACAGCCTTGAAACTTGCTGGGCCATAACAGTCATACACCCCTGCACCCCTCTCCTGAGTCACACAGGTGGCTGTCAGAAGCAACCCCCTAAAACGAAAAGCCCCATTCTAGTTTCGACCTCGCCCCTGGGGCCACAGCTCTTTAGTTTCTGAAGCCCCTAAACTCTCGCCCACCTCCCGGGTCTTGCCCTCTGGAACAGCAGTCAGGTCCCTTAGGGGAACAAAGAGCAGAAGGGCAGGGGCGAAAGACGGGGTGCAGGATACGAAAGGGGCTGTAGTTTTTACCTTGCGGCGCCCAGGAGCCGGCGGAGGAGACGTCAACCGGGCAGGGATCAACCGCGTAGGGACCACCCGCGCGTTCCGCGCCTCCCTGCCTCTTCTCAGCAAGTCAGCTGTCGCCCCGCATCTGGCTCGCGCCCTCCGCTGGGCTTCGCATCTGGTCACAAAGCGCTGTGGGCGCCGGGGGCGGCGAGAGCCTCCAGGTCACCTGTGGCCGGGCCCAGCCGAACGCCCCGTCCTCCCGCCGGCCGCGCTCCCTCCGCCCCTTCCCACCCGCGTTCCCTCCGCCCCTTCCCACCCGCGCGCTGCCCGGGCCGTGACTCAGCCGGGCATCGGCGCGCGCGGCCCGCGGCGGCCCGGGCGCGTCCAGCCGGGAGGAACGGCCAGGAGACCCGACTCGTGCTCTCGTCCGCCCGCCCCTGCACGTGTCCGTCTGTCTCGTGCGTTGTCCGTCCACCTCGTCCACGGGTCCAAGGGCCGCTGAGGTGGGGACTGGCAACAACACCCTGAGGGGGAAATCGGCCCCCGCCCTTCCTGCCGCCCGCGCGCCGCGCCGGGCCCCGCGGGGGTCGCGTTTCCTCCGCCCCTCCCCCGCCCACAAGGTGAAACTTTCTAGGTGGAGTAGAAGTTTTCTCGCCCTGGCCGCGCGCACTCTCCTCCACACCAGCTCGGGCAGTTTGAACTTAGCACAGCGGGAGATAAGCGGGACCGAGTCTCCCCCTCCTGGTGCCCGTGCAGCCAGCGGCCCTGGCGCACCGAGAGTACTAGGCGCGCACACGGCGCCCCTCCCCCCCCACCCCGGCGCGCTGCCGGCGCGAAAAGCGCGAGGCTCTGCTGTGAGGACCCTCTCCCGCGTCTCGTCTCGGTTAGCAGCCGGGCGCTGACGCGGGGACGCGGAGATTTGGGCACCACACAAACAAGGAATTCATTGTCAGGGATGGAGGTAGGAGTGGATGGACGAATTGTCCCAATGATTTAATTATGCAGCGATTATCCCCGACTGTAATAACTGAGATTTCTGGAAGGAGAAACAACATAGGAGTTTAACCCTGAGGAAACTTGCTCTTTTAACTTTTCCCCCCCTCCCCCGTTCATAGCAGGAAACAGGCTGATTCAATAACAAACAGCAGTGAGGAAGCACAACTGCACAAAAGTTTAATTCTTGAATGTTGAAATCTTATGATATTAAAAAAGGTTGGGGGTTTGGTGGATTAATGTGTGTTAGGGTAGCTTTTAATATCTCACGTGTCTGAGTATAAAAATTGGCATTAACCTTCAAGAGGAAATAAAACGCAGGTAACAAGCTCACAGGAACAGCCTCTCCTGTGAGGACTTAGCAGCTCTCCTTTCCTACTGTCTCAAGGGCTGGTCAGATAATGGCGGCTGTTAGTGAGAGTCAAGGGGCGAAACAACATTTACTATGTGGATTCGGGAATGACCACAGAATGAAAAACAGAAAGTATAGTTAGGATAGTTACCGTTTTCCTGAGAGCTTCTTATCTGCCATGAACTACACAGAGCACTATCAAACCTCAAAAGTGATTACCTCATAAGTCCCCACTTTTGTGGAAAAAGAAAGCTCTCGTTACACAATACTAGAGCCCTGCATGGATCCATTTGCAGATGAGGAAACTGAGTGCCTAAGAGTTCCTAAGAGGGTTACACAACTGGTTAGTAAAAGAGGAGTGATTAGAACCCAGCTATCAAATCCCAGCCAGGTGTTCTTCACACTGCCAAGAGGCTACAGGCTGGCAAGTTTGCATAAACAACCCAGTCCTACTGAAGACTTCCTCATATCACCTGACACAATTTAACAAGGACTACTTCACATTAAAATGCAAATTTACTGGTTGAAGGGCACTGGTCCTATTTATGGACAGATCAGTTATATATTTGGGTTCAGGACCAACTTTAAATAAAAGGTGAATAAACTAATGAATTTAGACACACACACACATACACACACACACACACACACACACACACACACACACACACACACACCTAGCCATAGCTGTCCAAATGAATTAGAGTGTTGTTTCTATTTTTTCTGTTTCCTGGTTTCCATAGCAATATGTTAACTGGATTTTTAGATTGCATTATGTAGTTGCTGTAACAGGTTTTCTGAGTTTGTGTGCTAAGATAAAAATATAAAAGAAAAAAATTACAATTAAAGTGGTAGACCCAGCAAAGCCAATGCAAACTGGAAAATAAAATAGCTTATAAATCCACATAACCTATTCTGTATTTTCAGCCCTGAAGTTTCCTACTTTCTAGTTACTGACAAATTTCAATCCAGTTTTGAAACTGGATTAAAAATTGTCTTTTTGATTTATTAACCATAAATAAGGAGAAAACATTTAATAAAAATAACGTAACTAAGAATAACGTAACTAAAAAGTATCTGAGTGTGTGAAAATCAAATAGTTTTTACACACTACTAGATAGGTTTCCCTTTCAGGAAAAGGGTTAGAAGTATAATTTCACATGTTTGGTTTTGGATAGAAGCAGATACTTTAAAAAAGCAATAGGAATTCTACAATTCCATTTCGGTTTTGTGGCAAACTCTAATTGTTGCTGTTTAACTTTCCTTGGGTCCATGGCATGGGTGACACACTGTATGATGAAGTTCTGTTGGTATTTTCTGAAAGAAACCAAACCCTTGTGGCTGACGCTCTTGGCTGGCTAGGCCAGCACCTGTTCCTAACTAGATATTCCCTTGCTTCCCTCCACTCTTAGGGCTGGAAAGGAGAAATGCTTGCTTTCCCAGACTCCTTTGCAGTCAGACATGGCCATGTAATGGCACTCTGGCAGTGAGATTAAGCTGAAGTCTGTTTTCTGATTAAAGGGATGTAATAAACTTGTGCCACTCCTTCCCACTTCTTGCTTTCTTGATTTTATGTATGATATCCGGCAGAGAGCTAGCTAGCTTGTGACCATGAGGAGAGAAGTTGGCTCTGACACTGCTGAGCTGTAGCACCAATGCCAGTAGACACCTGCTTCCAGATTTCTTGTTTTGTGGAAAAAATACTCATTCCAGACACTGTTAGGCAGGGTTTCTGTCACCTGGGGCCAGCAGCCTTCAAAGCTGATGTACCTCTCAAATGGGAAGCAAGACATCTCCAAGACTAAGTCTAGCACAGTAGTTAAGAGTGTGGGTTTTAGAACCAGACAGCCTGGATTTCAATCCCAGTTCTGCTGCTTGCTAGCTATGTAACTGTAGGTCAGTGGCTTAAAGTCTCTGTGCCATATCTGTAAAATGGGGAAAATAATAGTGTTATTGTGAGGATGAAATGAGAAGCTATAAGTGAAGCACATGAAATAGTGTCTGGTAAAATATAAGTGCTCAAAGGCATGAGTTATTATTTTCCATGTATTTGTGAATAACACATAGTGCTAAACTATAAAGAGGATCCCATCTCTTAACCCTGAGGTAGGCCTAATGGTAGCCATGGTCAAGAGGGAGAGGAACAGCTGCTCTAAACCTGCTCTAAACATGCCACATCCTTTCTGCTCTCCCTTCAACAGATAACAATTCGGATCTTTGATGGCACTCTTTAAGTTCATTCACATGGCACTCTTTTTGAAACAAAAATGAAAGCAACCTTCTTAGAACAGCAGCTTCTTGCTGGCAACCTGTGGAAGGCAGGGCCCACAGACATGCACAGGCCCATAGAATGCTTTTTAAAAGTTTGAGTTGTGTAGACAGAGGATATGTTCTGCAGTTTGCTGTTGTCTTCCCAGTGGTTTGCCATTGTCCTCCCATCTTCTCTTGTAATGCATCCAGCCTACCTCTGATCTTGAGGTCACTTTCTTGGGCATTAGGATTTGTGTCCCCTCTCTTATTTATTCTTGGATTCTCTTTGCTCTCCTCCCTTCCCCGGCCCCAATGCCCCTATTATTATGCCTATGGAAAATGTGTCTCCAAAATGACAAGAAGAGTTCAGGTGATAGTTCCTCAGGTCACCTCTGTTGGCAAATACAGTTTGGGGATATAGGACTCCTCTTACCTTTTTAGAGATACATCATGCAAGTTAGAATATTGAAGATTCTGGAAATTCACATGGAAAAACAACAACAGAACAAAAAAAAAACGAAAAAAAACATGCTTTTTTTCCTCTTAACATCTTCAGTAGCAATTTTCTATAAAATTAGTTCAATAGGTAACGTATTTTGGGAAACCTTGCCTTAAAGAATGGATATACCAGCTACAAAGGGTTAGAAGAGGGCACTTTCAGTATGAACTACTTCTATGTTGATTTATATTGGTCTTTTGTTTGTGGCTGGGCTCTCTAAAAATAAAACATGCAATGTTAAGTTATCTAAAAATATAAGTAAGCATATTCAATATTGAGGACAAGTACAAGACTGCTAGGCTCTTGAAGTTACAAGTATCACGATTTTAATCGGAAGGTCTAGGAGACTAGAGGCAGAGAAATTGAAAATAAATTACCATCTCCAACAGGGTGCTGCAATTTTGTTAGTGATTTGGTTCATTTTCATATCTGGCTTATTGCCTCTTTCCCCAAATCAGGGAAAGGTATAACATACTTCGCTCTCATTTATTAAATGTCTGCTATGTATCAGTCATGTCTTTGAGTTCTACTTAGGTCCTCATAACAAAAAACTCCAGCATGGGTATTATCCTTCCCAGTTTATGTTCAGGGAAATGAAGCTCAGAGAGATCATGTAACTTATCCAGGGTCACACAACAGGCCTAAGTCTGTCTCTTTCTAGAACTCTGCACTTCCCCTTGTAGCCATTATAAACTGTCCATGGTCCTGTGGTGAATGATGCAGTTCTTAACGTGGGGCAGGATAACTTAAGGCTTCCTTTAATTTTCCCTTCTTTTCCGTCCACAAAGTCAGCCACAACCTAAGACACGGCCACCCCTCTGCTTGACCCTTGGGGACTGGATGTTGCCATGCAGAATAAAGGTGCTGACACCACCTACATTGTTGGTCTATAAAACACTACACAGGTTGGAGCATGGGTCCTAGGCAGTCTGGATGGCCTACGTGGTGGACTATGGGTGCGTAGGACCAAGACCTCCCACTGTGAAAAGGAACAGGAATACCCTCTCTCCAATGTCTCTGTTTTCACAACTCCTGAGCTCTCCTTTGGGGACCTGGGGAATGTGAGAGAGAAAGGGAAGCACCAGATGACAGAGAGCCAGGAGTCCTAAGAGAGGGCCTTTTGGAAAGTCTCTTGTCCTTTCAGAAGATGAGAACTAAAGACCAAAACTTGCAGAAAGTCCCAGAAGTCTGCCCTCATAATTCTTTCTATCAATACTTTCCTCCCTGAAACTGTATTAATTTTTTTTTCTTTCTCTTTTTCTCTCCTCGCCCTTCTTATCCTCTCCTCTCCTCTTCTTTTCTGTTTTTTACCTTGTGGTAAATTGGTAAAAGCATTTGGGGAAAGAAAACAGGAAAAAAATCTTTCATTTTTATACAGCATAGTACAGCATTATTTCCCAACTATCTTATCCATTTCATCTGTTAATCTAAATGGTTTGGCACTAATACAAATGGATTAACCCATCCTGTGAAATAATGCACTAAAAAAAGTGTTTCCTTCATTGATCAACTTTTCTTTATGAATAGCCCTTTACAAATGTGTATGTGTGTTTGTGTAATTACTGCAGTTCTAGGCTTTACCATTAACTTGATGAGGGCTTTGGTGCTTAACCCTTGTGGATCAGTTTCTTCAGCTATAAAAACAGTTCCAAAGTCTGATGAAAATGACTTAAAAAAATTAAGTATCAACTAAAATTTTACTGAAGCCAGTAAGTTTGGAGCGAATATAGCAAACAATTTACTAATTGTATTATATATAAGGGGACATTATATTAGAAAGAAAGTACTCCAGTGTGTGGTTCTTATTAACTACTGCCTTGTTCAAATATGATAAAATTCTTTTTTCTATTCCAATGACTGACTGATTTAATGACTCAGGGATAATATATTTAGTGAATCCAAAAGTAACTTTGGTGATTTAGAAAAGGCTACAATATTTAGCAGTTTAAGCAGGAATATCTAGGTTTTAGTGACATTGAAAAATGATAGAATGTTTGAAAGGTTTAATTAGAGTCACTGTAACTATTACACATAACTAATGTATTCTGATGTATAACAAAGATGGTTCCAACACTTTTGCATTGGCCAGATTTTTACCTTTTGTTTAACAACCTCAGAGTCTAAGCATAATTACTATTAGTGTATGTACATGGAAGGAAAGGCACTAACTCTGGATTAACCTTGGTTTGCCAACAAAGAATTAAAAAAATGAGAGCACAAATGATGACCAGTCAGAGGTCATGTTCAGAAAGTCAGTGGTGATGCAAACTGCTTCAACCTTGCAGTTTTTTGGTCTATTATAAACATTCATGCCTTTACTTACTTTGAAAAACAAAATCCAACCAAACTGCCCCCAAAAGGCAATTGCAAGCTAACCTCTAGACAGAACAGTCAGAACTAATAAGATCGTCTGCAAACATTCTGCTTGCGTTGAAGGAACTTTCAAGGAGTGTGTAACCTGAATTAGAAAAGACATCTTTTAAAGCTTTCCCTGAAGTGTCTGGGCCATCTGTTTTGGCCCAAGCTCCCCATGTTAGAGCTGTTATCAAGTACTGTTGGCTCTCCCACTGCTACTGTTAACAAATGGATTTGTCACCCCAAAGTTAAGAAAAACCAGATGTTTCCTTTGTTGTTCTATATTCTGATGGCAGGTCAAGAGGCTGTTTAAACAGCACCAGTGAAATTGAGATTTAGAAATTGAGATCTTATTAATCTGGTCAGTGAGGTCATATGATTTAGGGCTGTTTCAAGATTTAGACTGAATTTCAATATTTGGCCATCCGCATATACTGGATTACTTCCAAATTAATTAGTTCTTTATAAATATAAACCTATATTTTATGGGAATCATAATTTGTATGCAAGCAGTTATAAATATGGAATAAAATATTTAAACATGTCAGGTTTTGTAATCCATCAACTAAATTTCTAACCAAATGTTTATTGAGCCCCTGCCATGTGCCAGGGAAGTGTTAGTGTCTGGGGCTACAAAGATGAATGAGATGTGGTCCTTAACACCGAGGGGCTCATAGTCTAGCACAGAAAACCGGCATGTAAATTAGCAGACCTGATACAATGTGGCAAGTGCTAAATACTGTTAGGAGAGTGTTATGGACTAACTGTGGGGATCAGGGGGAGGTGAGGAAACATGGAAGACGCTGCAAGGGAGGCCACATTTGAGCCACATGTGAAAGGATGAGCAGGAGTTTGCCAGGTGACTGTATTTACAGGGTGATGGAGGTGAGGAAGTGAATCCTTAGCAGAGGGAGCAGGCACACAGGCTTAAAATAATTATATATTCAGCATTCTGCAAGTAGTTCAGAATAGTTGGGAGCACAGTGTGTTTGGGACAAGGGCAGGAAACGAGGCTAAATAAATAGGTGAGGATCAGAATATGAGGTGTCTTATATACCACACCAAGAAAGAAAATCTGTATGGTAGGTGATAAGGAGCCACTAAAATATTTTAAGTAAAATAATTAGAATTTTACGTTTTAGACAGGTCACTCTGGCTTAATGGAGGGTTTGGAGCAGGGTGAGTTGAAGGCAGGGTGGCAAGAGGGAAAACTATTTCTTTAATGCAGGGGAGCAATGATGTAAGTTTGATGTCAGGCAGAGACTCTTGGGTGCAGGACAGAGAGGAAGGTTTGATAGATGCCTTGGGTGTGGGACACACAGGACCACGTAGAAATAATAGAAATTGACCGATATTCAGAAAGGTTGCTTTTTATTTGTTTATTTTTTGTTATTTAATGAAAGTCTGGGACATGATGACACTTTCATTTTGGACTTGTTGAGTTTGAGTGTTTGTATGTCCCTGCACAATGAGTTGTTGGAGGTCTGGTAGTTAAGTCAAAATACCAATGTGCCAGATTGTTCTATTGTCTACTTGGTTATTCTGGGAACTACGTTTCTCAGACTCTCCTTCTCCATGTAATTCCAGATTGGAGTTGGCCTAAAGGTAAAAACTGTGTGAGTTCTGGGATGCGGAAGAGAAGCAGCGGTCATTATATTCTGAAGGTTATTGTCAGACCCAGGGGTGCTGCTGGGTGCCAGTTTGTTCTTGCTCTTCCTGCCTTCCTGATACTGGCCTTGCCCATCAAAAGTGACCTCAGGTCTCCACTGGATGCTTGGCTGACAACTCAGAGAGGTGGCAGCTATGAAGGGCCAGCAACCTTCCTTAGCCTTCGTGGTCTCATCCCAAGAGCAGGACGTACTGGCTCCCTGCAAGTTCTGACACGTTCGTGACTTTATTTCTGCTCCTTCAACTACATTTTTTGGATCTTTATCTTCCCAGCTCTTCCCACAGTCGTGTAAGTACTAATTCCTGTTATAAATTCCTTCTTCCGTATCACTCATAGTGAATCTTTTTAAAGCTGCAGCCAAAGTGTATTTTGCAACAGAACTCCTTGTAAAAAGCACTACATTTAATACCTGAAACTTATCGTTTGAAGTTGTTTTGATTTTGAGAGTTTGTTTTTTTCCTGACTTCTCGATAGTGATCACTGGTACAGAATGATGATCTTACTGTGTCTAAATAGGAGAAATTGTCAGGATAACTAAGAGGAATTTCAAGAAAATTCAGCATTTTGTTCTTTTGCTTTTAAAAGAAATCATCATCATTATTATTTGTATGTGAACATTTTAATACAATCTAGTGCTCTAGAACTGTCTGGACCAAAGAGAGCCAGGCATGAAGATCTCAGGTGCCTTGGAGACAGGGAGGGAGGACCAAGGCAGACTGTGGCAGGAAAAGAGGTTTTCTTCCTGCTGGCAAGTGGAGCCATTCGTGGGGTGAAGTGTGTGGCATGTAGGTTCTTGTTGGAAGAACAGCTGTGGAACAGAGGTCCTGATGCTATTGGCTCAATGAGGATCCCATCATGAGCAGCTCAAGAATGGGAATGAGAGGAAGGGGCTGTCCAAAACTCTGGAATAAGCATTTGGGTTGCTCTTCTTAGACCACTCCTGCCCTGGGAAGAGGGTGGAGTTTAACTCCAAGGATGATAACGAAGAGGTATTGACTTTGTTGTCAGTTATGGGAAATGAGAATTGATCTAGAAAGGTGTGTGCCCTGGTGAGTACTTTTTTTTTTCCCCCTGCTTTTTTTGCCTTTCTCCAAAGCCAGCAAAGGAGAACATGGGTATCTTCTATTGCAAGAACAGACTGGCGAAGGAGGCAGTGTCAACAGCCTTGTCAGCAAAGGCAGTGGTATTGGCATTATTTATTCCTCTGGTGGGAATGGCCTTCCTTCTTTTATTTGCACGGCAAACTTTGACTCATCCTTCAAGGTCCAAACCTAATGTTGGAAGGCTTCCTTGACTGGCCCTCTCCCACTCCATCTTGTCCCACACCCTGGGCAGGCTGACAGGTTGCTTCATCTGTTTTCCAGGGGCACTTCATACTCCTAATTTAGCATATCTCACACTGTATTACAACTCATCTTTTTTGTTGACAGCATAACCGCATGATATATTAATTTATGTGATTTTTTTCTATATTCTCCTTTATGGATCAGAAAGCAGTAATGCAAAGAAAATGAGAAAAGCTGTCAGTGGGGCCAGGGGAAGGTAGGAGGTTTTACATCTCTTAGACTGCTGTACATTCATAAGGGACTGTCTTGCTGCAAATACAATATAACCTGGCTTTGCATTTGCTTGGTTAGGCAAGACACCAGAAATAACACCCTTTTAATCCATTTGCCTAAAATCCTTGGTATCTCTGTATTTACAAAGTTTTAAAAATGCATAAGCAATTCTGGAAATTGGACTATGTCCTCTGCATGCTACTCTGCAGGCATGGCAGGCATTGGAGACTGTGCTCTGGGGGCAGAGCCTTCATATGCAACCTGCTTTATGGGTCTCATGACCCTTGACCCATGCCTTTCCCTTCTCTTGGGAAACAAATAGGATTTGTTAATTAATAATCTTTCCCTTCTCTTGGGAAACAAATGGGATTAGCAAATGGTGCCAATGTTGATTTTTCTTAAGGAAGTCACACTGAGATGGGTGTCTCCTCCCCAAAGGACGTAGTTAGTATACGTACTGCACAAAGGGGGAGTCATGCAATATGTGCAAATTCTTGGACAATTTTTGTCCAGATAACATGCTTGCTAGCTGTTTTCTATCAGATACTCACAAGGTATCCACTACTTAGTGCTGAGGAGGCAAAAATGTTGGGAATTGGATGTGTCCATTAAACTTATCACAAATGAGGTAGAGTGTGTGACTAGAGGGTACAGTCTTGTGGGCCTGGGGAAGGAGAGTTGTGCCTGGATGTCACCCAGGACTCAGAGTACACCTGTCCCTTTGATGTACTTGTGATCATGCCCATGACCCCTGGCTGTGGGGTGGGGAGAAGCCCTCTTGCCACCTGAAGGCTAAGTGAGCCATGACTGCTAGGGTTCCTGTACTGCTCAGGCAGGCAAGACTCCATCAATCTGTGTTTGTCTCTTGCGGTCCTGAAATTACTTTCTCATTATAATGAAAAGAAGTGAAATGAAACCTGACCTAGGAAGAATCCCTAATTTTGGCAACATTCAAAAACATGTAGCGAGGGCTTGGCTTTTTAAGGACAGCACAATCCTTCTGAAAAGGTGCTAATACACAATTGCTGAAAAGTCTTTCATGGTTATATGATTCAAGTCCCATGGGGCTTGTCTGGTACTTGGTCTCGGGGGTGAAGTAACTTAAACAGAAGTCCTCATGAGGAATTGGGCACAGCATAAGGTGCTGCAGGTCAGATAGCTCAAATAAAAGATTTACTTATTTACCTGTGATGGCCATGGTAATGTAGCCAGAGTATCTGAATTAAGGTTGAAAGGGGAAAGACAAAGGTAAAAATTAAGAGGCAGTTCTTTGTGTCAGGACTAAGGGATGAAGCAAGGCCACATCCTAGGCACGAGCCAAGAGGGCAGCAGTGGGATGACTGGCATTTCCATTACCTCTCACCTGTTTCCTAGGTCCTCTGTTTTCCTCTTTCTTGGTTTACTCTTTCATTTTTGGTGCAACACTTCCTCCTGTACCCTCCTGAAAAAGGGTGCATGTGATTGGTGCATGTGGTATGGTGGCATGTGATTGGTAAACCCAGATAGGTGGTTACCAGAGGGACAGAGGGTTGAGGGGTGGGTGAAATGGGTGAAGCAAGTCAATTATATGGTGATGTATGGTAACTAGACCTTTGGTGGTGATCACTTTGTAGTGTATATAGATGTTGAGTTATAATGTGCTCTTGAAACTTATGTTAATACAAATTTTACCTCAATTAAAAAAAATTAAAGGGGAAGAAAGAGGATGCATGTGACGAGAATTTTTTGAGACCTTGCAAGTCTAGATATGTTTTTATTTTACCCTATTGCTTGATTGATAGCTTGTCTGGATATAGAAGTCTAGGTTGAAAGACAAGTGTCCATTATCTTCTAGCTTCATTCTTGTTCTTGAAAGTTTGATAATTTTTTACCTGATTTTTTTCTCCTCCTATTCATTTTCTCTGCTCTCTCTTCTGGGACTCCAGAATTGAGATGTTAAACCTGTGGGATTTATCATATAATTTTTTTCATATGTATACAAAATATATATGTATATATGAAATAGATACCATGCCCCGCATCTTGGCATCTTTGAGGATTAACAAAGAGGTCAGTGTGGACAAAGAAAAGTAAGTGAGGAAAACAGTCTCAAACATATTTATATTAATTATTTTAAATAAGTCGAGGTCTTAATTTAGTAAATGATCTTTGACAAGAGAAGTAGAAAGAAAAAAATTTTTTTGGTAAATACATTAAGTTTTCTCTCTTGTACTGAATATTATCTGTTTCGTCTTTAACTCTGAAAATTTGCTAGGGTAACTTGCTGGGTCACTTTGGATGTGTCACAACCTGTGCGTTTTCATTTCCCAGAAACAAGCAATTGGTTATGTGTAATCTTCTTTATCACATTTGGCTTTAAATGCTGAACTTGCATTGGGTTATCTCAATACTAATTAATAATTCTATTAAAAGAAGGGGCACAGAGAGGAAGTTAAACTTAAGTTGTTTAATACTGATGCTCATTCAGCATCTCAGGAGAAGGGTTGGTTAGAAGAGACTCACACCTCTAAGGTTCATTTTTATTTTTTAAATTTATTTATTTTTTATTTTATTTATTTATTTAACACCTTTATTGGAGTATAATTGCTTTACGATGGTGTGTTAGTTTCTGCTTTATAACAAAGTGAATCAGTTATACATATACATATGTTCCCATATCTCTTCCCTCTTGCGTCTCCCTCCCTCCCCCCCTCCCTATCCCACCCCTCTAGGTGGTCACAGAGCACCAAGCTGATCTCCCTGTGCTATGCGGCTGCTTCCCACTAGCTATCTATTTTATGTTTGGTAGTGTATATATGTCCATGCCACTCTCTCACTTTGTCACATTTTTAGATTCTAAAGTTCTTCTATATTCATTACATTCAAAGAGAAAAAGATCACAGATGCTACTCAGCCAATGTAGTTCTCATTTGAAGAATATAAATGAGGTTTTAATTTAGCTATGATCATTTTAAGTGCACAATTAATAAAACATTTGGAGCATTTAATGTACAATTATATGGCATAGCTCACTATCACAAGCATTGAATGAGTACTCTTTGTAATAAAGAGTGTATGGAAGAAGTTCTTAAAATCAAATCCAGTCTCAGGAGTTCGTACCCACACTTTTTTTTCTGGCTGTGCCATGAGACATGTGGGATCTTAGTTCCCTGGCCAGGGATCTAACTCTTGCCCCCTGCACTGGAAGCATGGAGTCTTAACCACTGGACCGCCAGGAAAGTCCCTGTACCAAACACTTTTAATGTACATATTGCAAGCTGAAAAGAAGAACAGTATTTACTCTGACCTCTCTTTCCAAATTTATATTCTATTACTTGGCTCTCTGCATTCTACTTTATACTACTCAGTATGTTTTAGACTTTCATATGTCCTGGCTTTGTTTTTGTTACCTGGAATCCTTCAATCACTACTGTCCACCCTAAGACTCCAAGCACCAATATCTTACCCATCCATCAAGGCCCATATAAAGTATTTTCTTGCTTAAGCAACCTTTCCTGATTCTTCCAAGAAACTCAGTTTTTTTCTCCTTTAAAGTTCATAGCACATTTTTTTTTTTTTGCGATATGCGGGCCTCTCACTGTTGTGGCCTCTCCCGTTGCAGAGCATAGGCTCCGGACGCACAGGCTCAGCGGCCATGGCTCGCGGGCCCAGCCGCTCCGCGGCATGTGGTATCTTCCCGGAGCAGGGCACGAACCCATGTCCCCTGCATCGGCAGGCGGACTCTCAACC